CGGAGACTGGAAGGTGTATGCTGTAGACATGGTGTTAAAGACGACGCGTTGTTTGTGTTTGTTTGATTTCAAAGGCGCCAGTACTGAGTACTATACGCGAGCGCCAAGAATCCTGTTTCACGCACTAAACAACTCCAAGGAGCCGCCGACATATTTTTTTTTTATTCTAATGACTATGGCGCAGCACCGGATTTCCTTCAAATAAACAACAACACACCCCTTTACTACAGGGGTATTTAGCACACTTGCCCAAGCTCACTGCAATTCACCAGTGCGTCCCGCCGTTTGCTTTAAAAGTCAGGTACCAGATACTACCAGATATGCCACTCCAGACAGACATCCCGTTTCCTGAAGAACCCCTCACTCTGTCTAAAGAACAGGATGCCGGATTTTTTCCTGCTCGTCTTGGGTTGCAGCTCAACAACTCTTGCTATACAATTTTCAGGAAGCTAGGGAGAGGGGAATTTTCCTCTACTTGGTTGGCTTCAGATTCTGAGTAAGTCTAGTTGTTCACACAGGTGTCAAAGAGCGCTCAATTTTAACGTTCGTTCCCTCAGAGCGGAGGAGATGTTAAGATACTGTGCCATCAAAATTCTGACCGTTCATGATACCAAAGCTCATCATGATGTTCGTCTGCTCGAGCTGGAAGTCATGCAAACTAACGCTGGACTGACCATGACATCCTTTCTGCCTCGCCTCCGTGACCACTTCGAGATAAATGGACCTCACGGTCAACACCTCTGCCTTGTTCTCCCTGCTCTCTGTGAAAGCGTGAATAGCTTAGATGTTCGGCACCCTCGAAACTGCTCTACCCTCCAAAAGTTAAGATTATTGTTGCTGAAGTCTTGGAAGCCTTGACTCGGCTGCATGCCGCAAATATCATATATACAGGTAGGCACAGGAATTACCCTGACGCAACATATTCATGTCCTTTTCCCTCGAAACAGATCTCAGGCCGGAAAATGTTCTGTTTGACGAAGGAACGCCACCCAGACTATTCAGGAACTTCTCATTCATACTCCTCAGATCATCGACGGTGAATTTGAATTGAAAGGCGCACGTTATCCCATCATGCGGTCGCAGCCTATTCCTCATCCTTTTCGGTGGGACGACCCCGGCATCACTGTAGAACTGTATTCAGTTTGTGTGACGGGTTTCAGGAAAGGCAAGTGTTATCTTTGTGTCTGTTATCGATCATCAGCTCACATGTCTTCTTGCAGTGCAAATGACCAATGCACGACCTCCGAGTCCAACGAGAACAATAAGTTCATATGACTTGCGTGCACCAGAAGTTATCCTGGGGGCCGACTATAATGTCAAGGTAGACATATGGGCACTCGGATGCATGGTATGTTCAAATTTCTGGCAGTCATGTTCGTACAAGTCTTATATGCATGTGTTTAATATAGACTTTTGAGCTTCTCACTGGAAGTACGCTGTTCATTTCCACAAGCAGGTCAAAGTATCGAAGATGAGCATTTGGCAAAGATGGCGCAGATGACGGGGGAGAGTTTCTCAGAAAAGATCCTCGCGAAGTTCCGGAAGCGCAACGAGCACTTTGACGAGAGCGGTCAGTTCACCTTTCCTCGTGGCATTTGTTTCATTTCCATTAAACGTGGTTGGCTCATTTCAGGGAAGTTATTGCGTATTGAGCAACTATCCTTGATGACTCTCGAGAGCGCAATGATCGATCACGGTCTGCCGGAAGTAGAAGCGGCTGCTGCTGCAGCGTTCATCTATGCGTGTTTGCACTTGAATTCAGAAGAACAATCTTCGACCAGTGGCTTGCTCAAACATCCATGGATGGAGTGTGCATATATGTACTGCCAGTGTTAGCCTATCATTTCTGCATTCTAGTATTACAGGCACTGGGCACGTTAATTCTTGAACAATGATAAAGAACTCTCGTGCTACACACCACCGCCAGTTGATACATGCACGTGCTCCTGGAAAACAATCGAAGTCATACTGGCACTCGCATTTGAATCGGCTATGAACCTAGTATGATACTCTCGAACACTAAGGATCAGGCGTGGTCCCAGCACAAACATCTGGATGACCATGAAAATTTGAAGAAACTAAGATAAATCTGAGTTTCCGGGGAATATTTATCCTATAGAAATGATGAACCGTAGCCCCATGCAGAGACCTGGGATGGAGCACATACCGCTGAGATCATTGGTGACATATAACCGATCTTGAGGCAAGCAGCAGGAAGCATGCTAGCATGTGCATAACTTCAGCGAAAAGAGATGATCACATTCATATTATGAACTCACCTCGCAAAGTAACCCACGTGAGTTTTCAACAATACTGTAAAGCAGTCCCTTATAATTCGTCCTGCTGATTGTTTTTGTAGTTCACGGAAGTGTTTTACAGCGATCCGGACGGCGAGACACAGTGTGAGGACCTCCCATGCACTGCCAAGTATCCAACATATGGAACCCAGAAGGACCACATCTCCCTCGAATTCAACAGTGCACCGATATGTCCCGGAGAGAATAAGCTCCTCTGGAATTCGTTAATGAGCTGGATGCACTTTGAAAGTTTGTCATCCATAAGTAAACTCACCCCCTGAAGAATGCTTCATTGTTATTACGCCTACCACTATAATGGCAACAGCAACAGCCAGGAAGGCGACAATGAGAATTATCAGCACCTTTCTGGAACATTGATACATGGCGTGCAGCCGAGTGACCACAATGACTAGCATGATGTTTAAGCCAAGTCAATATCACTGACTCGTATTGCAGCTGTATATCTCACCCTCCAGCATTGTAATCACAATCACACCTATCCAATATAGTGCGACGTACATAATCTGGCCTGAAAAATCTAGTTAGCGCTTGACCTCAGACGATCACATACTTGTAGCAGACTCACAGCTGTGGTAGTCATTATGTTTGAACTAAAAAGCTGGTCAAGAATCTCACTCACCCCTACATTGGGGCACAGTTGATTGGACGGGAATTGCAGAGATCGGCACAGAACACTCACTACATCTGTCACCAAGATTGGAAGATTCGCTGTATGGCGCGGGCCAGTTAGAAGACAAAAAATATGTTGAATGCGAGGAGACATACTAAGTATGTTGATACTGATCATGAGAGATAACCGATTAGCACGATATCATTTTCTTAGCCTTCCATACTTACACAGCATGAATTATTCCAAAATAGCGTATCTAAGATATCTTCGAGTCAGCACAACTTGGCGATTACACTATAATGCGAATTACACACGCTGAGATACAGAAAAGCCATCAGGGACCAGCGTTGCCCCTATTACGAAATAATTATATTTTCATGTTGTTCTTCTGACTCATGCGGGACTCTGCTCACCCAGATCAGTTCGACCTATATAAACCATTCTTAGCGAGCTAGCCACTCTATGACTGATGACGTCAACCTACCTCTTGTCCGAATGTCAGTGCTTGAATTTTTATAAGGATATCAGTGGTTCTGTAATACTATATTGCTCACCCCAATCATACATCACCCCGACAGAGGAGGCAACTGCGAAACCACAGCCAAGGTTAGATTGACGCATGACCATCTTCATCTATGATCTAACAAGGTCTCCACGAACCTGCAAAATAGCTAGCAATGTGGCTCGCATTGATGGACGGCCACCAACTAGGATCATTTGAGAGTATGGTCATACTATTTTAGACTGAGTATGAGGGAAGTAGTAACGAACTTGGTAGGCATGTGGCGATGGTGTTTGTGATGGATATATCACCACGGGTCGCTTTTTTGACCAAAACAAGGGTCATAGGACATGCTACTGCCTTGATTGCCCGAAGTAAGTATTGCCGCATAAAGTCAAGTAGGAACTCAATCCAAGTTTCAGTGATGAATTTGCAAAAATCACGGGCGGAATGTTTGAAGACCGCACAAGGTCGATGACCTAACACACGCCTAGCCTCAAAGGTGTGATGCGACCATCGGAGAGGCCCGCTATCTCCATGAGTATCGGCGCTCTCGACCTTGCTGGTCTTGGCTCTGGGAGCGTAATAGCTCCTTCAAGGTCACGTTCTGCCAGTATGATGTCAGTCAGATATGAATATGGGAGATCCATACAGAGTAAGCAAATAAATTACGTCCCACCCGAGCTGCCAATACATCATTCCAAGAAAACCCTGAATGTCGAATCACCTTGCTCCTTGATGACGAGTCCTCATTCTCAGCATCTGTCGCAATGCGCACCTTCTAGCTAGACCCTGCCCCAGTCTTCGGTCTGGGATATCGTAACTAGGATGTCAAAAGTAGTAAGCATAGAAATCATCTGATGCGGTGATAAGACTTGATGATGCCATCAATTTTTACATGCTCACAGCTTAATACATCCCGGTTCATACCAACAGCTTATTATCTGGGATTGATATCGGGTGCATAGTATACGGCGCGATCTGAATCACATTATTGTAGTCGATGTAGAAGGGCCTCCACTCCGAGTCGTACTAGAGATCCGTCTGTCAGAAACAGTCAGCTGCTTCGCTTCACAGTGAGGCTGCCATACGCAGAAATAACGCATCCGAACCAAGCTGTATCGAGTTAAAGTCAGAATTCGGTGGTTAGCACTAGCTAGTAATACCAATGCCAAGGTATGTGTTAATGCTGGCGGCAGGGAGCGACATGAAACAAGGATGCTCAAGGCGTTGATGCGATGATCTCGATGCTACTAGTAGGAGCGCACCAGGTATAGTAGGTCGGACCGCACTTTAAGGTCCACTAATGGGTATGTAAGAGTTAGGGGGGCCTTGCTCCACGGGCAAGATAGAAAAAAGAAGGTCACTGAGATGGTATCAGTGAGATGAGGTGGAAATGTACTTTGAGTGTGTGGCTGGCATGCTAGCCGCCACTCTGAAACTGGGAAGGTGCATAAATTTTACTTGTAAGCTTTAGATATGACTCGGAGTCATGCCGGTTTGTGTTTATTGAATTCAAAGGCTCTTGCCAAATCTATCTAGCTTACTTTATGTAATTTAGTACGTTCACATGTGCAATGAGCTCTTCCTCAAGCGCAGCCATTTCCAATATGGTAGGACAAATATACTCTTTCTGGGAATGAGAACACGAATCTCTACGTTTTCTCCTTTTGCCCGTCCTAACTTATGATACTTATCATAAAAGCGGAAAGACCTCGATACTCCAAGTCCTCTTCGATGATCTCCCAGTCAAACAGACTTTACCTCGAGCCCACCATGCGCACTGCAAAGCATTTCATTGAGTGTGCACTCATCCATGACTTCTGCTTGTGCCTAGCACTGAACATCGTTTATCAGCACCGTGGAGATATAGGACTGTCCAGGAAATGTCACCGTCGACACACTCGGTGCATCTCTCGCTGAGTCTTCGTAATAGACATACGAGTAAGTGCGCTGCATTTATCCGCTGACTGCTATCCTCATCCAGATGCACAGGACCCCTACCAACATCCTGTCTCAAATTCAAAGCTCGTAGAGTTCATAGTCGCTGCATGCCAAATCAACCCTCACATAAATTTGTAGTCGTACACAAAGCAGAAAGGCTTTAAGAGGACGACAAGATCGGTACGCCAGTCCCGCATACATTCTTTGTTCGGGCTGAAACAGCACGCAGAAAACTTCCGCCAGATACACGAACGCGTCATGGACCACCTCGTAGACGAATCTCCCGAATTTGAGCAATTCCCTCTCAATATCCATCTTGCCTCCATATATGACCATCCTCTTCGAGAGGCATTCTCTCGCGTGCTTCATAAACTGATCTATTCCCTGCCATATCTCGAAGAACTATTAAATGTCTTTTGCTCTGTATGTGCCTTCATTACCACTTGTCTTCACGGGTACTTCTCATCGCTCGCAGGACACAGCATCCTCAAAGGCTTTCCTATTCGATACATCCAGTAAAATCCACGTCGCAACAGACACCTCACCAGTAGACCAAGCCACGCACAATCTCTGCTGCGACTATCTATCCATGCTCAACTCTTTTGGACCTCTCTACGGGTACGTACATATCATAATTTTCCCTCCCACCACTTAAACCATCCCATCAAGTCCAACTCTAACAATCCACAGGCGAGTCGGTTGTCCCCAACACCAGCACCAACGCCCCCACCCACAGCCACGACATCAACTCCCACCTCCGGCACCACTCCTACCGGAACACCGCTACTCTCCTCATCGTCATCCCCCCGGTCCACCCTCAAAGCCCCACTTCTACCCCTCAGCAGCGACGTCGCTCTCACCTTCACGCCCAGGAACTACGCTCACGTACCACTTTGTCACGCCACACCTCGCATTGCTGGCACTCCTTCCGACGATGGTGTATTATATGCGCAGGGATTTAGTGGAGTGGAATGTCGTGTGGTTTAGGGAGGGCATTAGGGAGATATGGAAATCTGGGCTGCACGGGGCTTCGGAGCCTCAACGTTAAGCGCATCAAGAAGGAAACTGCTTCACAAGACTTCCTCAGCCCTTTTCACTTAGCTCGTCCTCGATCTGCGATGATTCTGCGTCCCTTGCTTTCTTTATTGTCTCATCATTGGTGCCTTGGACGGCCATCTGTCAGACTTGAACGTGGGCTTCTTCAATATATCCATTTTGATCTCAACTACGACAGCGTGATATTCCACAGGACCGAGGCAGCTGTGCTTACATACCGGTGGCTCGAACGATCCAATCTCGCCTGATCGCTATTGGAGCCTCTCTGATTGCACATAATCACTTCTATCCTAGATCTAGTCTGCCGCACGGCGATCGGACGGTTTGGTTCCAACACCAGTTCATTAAATGTTGGTCAGGGTTCCCAGGACCCACTTCCACAGCCGTGGCTGGCATACGTACGTGCCCTTGCGCCTGGCGTATCTCTAAGCTAATCTCACCATGTGCAGAGCTACACTCACTGCCTCAAATCTACCCGACCGGAATATTGACAGCCATTCCCACATCCGGCTGACACCAGTGACAGGCCCATCAGTGAATGCGTCCATCGCCGATAAAAATCACGACTTCGTTCTAACGTTAACGGGAGGTAGGTTTGAGGATGAGGCGAGGAGGTACTTGAAGATTGCCGGGTCTTTCACAAGTATGAGTAATCTGCATGAAACTATAAGTGCTCACTATAGGAAATGAATATTGAATCGGATGTAAGCAGTACGCAGATGGGCCATTGTCAAGCCAAAGCAGCCATCTAGAATTGACCAGACTACCAACATTGACGGGTGCGCATGTTTGTATGGGTGAGCCCTGCTCCTAACTTGACGTTGATTACATTGGCAGTGGTTAGTCGAAGTCATGGTGCAGAAGGGCTGGGCCGCTTGAAGCTTGAAGAATAATATGACTGGAAGGCACGAGTCAGCCAGACTAGCCTGGCTCGTACTACCTAAGCAAAGCAGAAGACGAGGCTGCAAACGAGTCGAGTACGCAAAATCTTTGATGAACATTCTAGTCGACAAAAACACGAGTAGTGTATAATACAAAAACGAGACAGCTGGAGCGCAAAAATACGAGTCTCGTTTTTACAAACAACAGGATGAAAGAGGATCGCAGATCAACAACTGTGAATATGTACCAAGTGATAGCAATACGACATAGAACTACACACCGATATGAATGAAAACCATCCTCTGCTCAAGCGGCACTTTCGTCTTCACAGTGTGCGTAGCACGGTTGAGTGCCCAGGCCGCCTTCGTACAGTCCATGACACGACCATCCTCCATATCAGCGAACAAATTCTCGTAGAACGCTTTGACAACGTGTTTTGCGACAGCATCGTCGACCTCCCACAGCGTGCCAATGACGCTCTTGAACCCCGAAAACTGGAGACCAGCTGCGAGGTGAATGACTTCGTCGGGCGTCTCCTTATCGCCGACGGCGGTGTGACAAGCGGATAAGAATGCGAACTCAGCATGCGGAATATGTTTCTCCATGATATCAAGCAGCGTCAGATGTTCATCTCTCATGACGAAGTGGGAATTGTAAGGCTGAGTAGAATCCTGCTTGCCATGGCAAGCGAGGTGCACCCAGGTGTTCTCTTCCAAAGCTTCAAGTGCACCTGCTCGTGTGGCTGCGTCACCAGAAATGGTGGTACGGTTGGCCATCGCCGGGACGAGCTTACGGACAAGCTCGAGCTCGCTGTCAACGGTCAAGAGCGCCTTGCCTTTCCCTGCACCCGGTTGACTCTGTCCGATTGTCACGAAGGATGGAGCAACACGCTTCTTCATCATCTGTCTAGATCTGACCAGAGCCGAAAGTGTCGGGGTGTAAGAGCAGATGTAGAGATCCTCCAGGCATGGCTCTTTAGAGCGATCTGCGTTCGTTTGAAAGGGGTGAGCTGCATGGAGAGGAATAGACGTGAAAGCTGCAGTTGGACACAGCCAGATTCGAGAACCGTGCTTTAGCTCAAGGACATGCTCGAGTACGTTGACTATGGGTAGCATGATCTCTTTCCATACTGTCCGCAAGAGTACTATTAGATCGTTCCGCGGCACCTTTGGGCCCATGATAGATGCGTGTCGTATGGCCCTGGCGAAACGCTCCTTGAGATTGTTCAGATCTATGAGAGTGACAGACGGCAAGGGAACATGACTAGGCTCTCCTGACGTCGGGACGATGATGGCGCTGCACGAATATTGACTGGCAATGAGGATGATGACAGGGCCCTGGCGCGCTGCCGCTTGCAAATCTTCGTAGGAAGGTGGGAGCAGGAACCGCGAGAACGCTTGAAGATTACGGATTTCAGCCACTGCAGCTTCCCACTGCTCCATAAGCTTCCTGTACTTGGTTGCTGCCCGATCAGCAGCAGCTCTGTCCGTGATGGTTGCAGAACTCTGTGCGGCATTGGAAACGCGCTTGCTCAGCTCCAAATAATTGTGCGCCAGGTTCGGATTTGCTGACTCAAGGTCTTCAACTGGAGTCTTGAGTCGGGAAGCTAGCGACCACTGCTGGCCACGGCCCTGCTCCACGAGTTCAACTGCCTGTCGTAGATTGTCACGACGTATGGCACATGAGGCTGCATCTACTGGTAGCAACTGTGCACCACGAAAAGCGGTTGCAGCCTCACGCCGTGAGATAATTGACGATCGCGTCATCACGTGGCTGTCGAAAAGCTCAAAGCACATTTGGTATGCTTCGAGGGCAGATTCGTGTTGATAGACTTCCGCTTGGCGAGCCCAGCCAATAGCCTGTCTGATACGCCGAGGAAATCCTTGTGTAGGATGTCCCGATGCGAGTCTGAAGTTCTCAATAGCGAGCGATAAATCAGCAGGGTCATGTAGAATCCGGTAACGAGCTAAATAGGCCCCTTTCAGCCATGTGTAGCTGAACCATCTGTCCGGGTGCAGTGAAGACAGAGCCACCAATGACTCTCGGCAGAGATTAATGGCCTCCTCGATATCTTCATTCTCCCGAGTTTGCGTGAAACGAGAGCAGAGCGACGCGCTCAAACCGGAAAGAGTTAAATGGCGCCCTGGATGGTCATGCCGCTTTAACCGAAGGGATTCGCGATATCGATCAATAGCCTCGTTAAGATCCTCAATGACATGCAATTTGTTGTATCTGGTGTAGAGCGCGAGGCCAAGGTTGTTAAGCGTGATATCACGATGTGGATGCCCAGGTGGGAGCAATGTCAGTGCCTCGCGATAGAGGCTGATAGCTCGGGTGATGTCATCAATGTCTTTGCATCTGTTGAAACGGCGGACGAGGGCGCGCCCTAGGTTGTCCAATGGGATATCACGATATTTGTGCCCAACAGGGCGCATGCGCAGCACTTCTTCGTACAAAGAGATAGCCTCATCGAGGTCATTAGGTTTGCCTTGGTGATCGAAGCGGGATGCGAGTGACAAGGCCAAGTCATTCATGTAACCACTACAGTCAGGATGTCCTTCGGAAAGTAGAGAAACGGCTTCACGACCGAGTCTTATGCTCTCATCTAGATCATCGATGCTGCCACATTGTGTAAAGCGCGCGTAGAGTGATCGTGAAAGCTTGTAGAGTGCTCTGGGACGGTGTTGATGGCCCAGAGGACAGAGCTCGAGGACAACTCGTCGAAGGTGGATGCCTCCATCAGATGCATCTATTGGAAGGTTGTTGCATCCGTTGATCACATAATCGGCACCATTTGCCCCTGCCGCGACGCTCCGAAGGCAGGTGCCCTCTGGACAGAGAGGTAGTAGCTCATGATAGAGTCTGGCGGCTTCGAGGATGTCGGCAGCAGTACTTTTCTTCTTGTGGCGCCAAGCCAGCGCTTCGGTGAGATTGTATAGAGATAATGGATGATCGGGATGGCCCTGCGGACGCAATGCAAGGGCTTCGCGGAACAGGGAAGTGGTGGTATCAATGTCTTGAAGATCCTTACGAATATACCCCTGAAGGCGCGCATACGCAAGGTTGGTGAGGGCTGTTGCGTGGTCCAGGATGGCTGACCGGACACTGGTCTAGAAACCAACTGAAAATGCTGCACTGCATCGTTTCAGGTGAGAGACCGTCTTGCTCGTCACATATGCGGCAAATTGTGCGTGGCCCGCATCTGTGTCTCGAGCGATCTCGCAATCTACGAGGGACTACAGTTGGTGTTCTGTCAGCAAAAGCCAACAGTAGAGACCAACGCCACTCACATCAGACAGTGCACCGTCCTGATTGTCGCAAGTATTGTACAACGGCGGGCCTTAAGCGTGAGGGAAGGGTGGACATCGCGAACGGGTGGAAGGACAAAACTACGAGATTTAGTATATGTGTATGAATGACGAGAAAATCACTCACTGAAAGGTTCATCTCCATGATCGAGTAGCTCATCCCATGACATTTGAAGTTTTCCAATGACCTCTCCACTGCCTAGCATTCGACCAGCCTCATAGGACGCCCAGATCTCCACTGATAATGCAGGTGAGGCATGGGATGATCTAGAAAACCGAAGATGAGTTCTCGGATCGCACGGGAAAGTGTCCATGGACTTTACAGAGTCACAGTGTCGCCCCACGGCTGCAGATTCATCAGATGATAAGACACTGATGGCCGATTTCCAGCATCTCCGGGAGTCGGCATTTGTGGATATGTAAATGCCTGCGGGAATGCGCCAGGAGGGGACTTGAAGATTTTTTCCGCTGATGACTGTAAAAAGAGAGTGAGGATCGCGAAACGGATACAAATGTGATATGGAGCGACCCACCTTCAAGTCTGATATATCGGCTTTCCAAGCTACCAGGCATGATAGTGTAATGAAGTCAAATGACGAGGATCGAGGATGGACTGAGTGGTAGGCAGAATGGGTGAGAGTGAAAGACGGGGATAGGGATATGGGGACTGTGGATGTAGTTCGGCTGAGGGAGAGGAGGAGAGGTTGAGGTTCAGGCCATGCTACACGTGTATTTCCATATTGTCGATGGCAGTTCGGCACGATAGACGCTGGTACGATTGCACTAAGCGCTAAAATGGAGATCACTTAGTAGGATTAGCAGAAGAATCTGTGCTAAAGAAGTATAGGCAAAAGTCATGATCAGTCTTCAGCGAAAGTGGCCCGCCAAGGTTGAAGGGGATATGCGAGTCTCAGAGAATCTTATGATGGTTGCTGCTCCTGGACAGGACTTGTATCATGAAGTCGTACCATGATCGTTTTAGCTTGTAAAGAAGTATAGACAATGTCATGATCAGTATTCAGCCAAAGAGGCCCACCAAGGTTGAAGGGGATATGCAAGTCTCGGAGCGTCTTGGTTGCTGCTCCTAGAGTTGTATCGTGGAGTCGTACTACTCATTTAGCACATATCAAAAGTAAATGTAGAATTGAGTGTATTTTCTAACTTGAAGGTAATGGAAATGCAAAGTTGAAACCGCTGGAAGCGGCGCGTAGAGAAAGCCGAACGATCCTATACGACTGGTCTGATTGAGCTGACAGTGACATGGTGGAGGAGAATTGAGCTCGAGAATGTTGTAGAAAGACAATTTGCGAGAACATCATGATGAACTTGAAAGTCGGATTCATGGATACAGTGAATACTGGATAGTATGAATAACGAATTTAAAGATTGAGACTGCAACTTAGAACGAGAGTCAGCTAACGGACAAATTACTAGTAAGTCTTTACAATACCTGGTCAACCCAAGATGTCTGCCGTTGAACAAGCTTCAATTGATAGTAATATTGTCGCGCGGCCACTAGCACTTGCAACTCAAGTTCATTCCCACTGCAGCGCGAAAACCAAATCCTTGACGGCCAGACCCACGAATTCGAAGGCTCTTTCCATTTCTCTGCTGTGCACACATGCCAAATCAAATCAAACCCCGACATAAATTTGAATCACTGAAGACGATAAGATCGGTACGTTGTTCGTGATTGAAACACTGGCAGCACGCAGAAAACTTCCGCCATATACACGAACGCGTCATGGAGCGCCTTGTAGACGAATCTCCCGAATTCGAGCAATTCTCTCTTAATTTCCATCCACCTCACCAGTAGACCAAGCCACGCACAATCTTTGCTGCGACAATCTTTCCATGCTCAGCTCTTTTGGACCTCTCTACAGCCTGAGGTACATAAGTATCGTAAAATTTCCTCCCACCCTTATACCATCTCACCAAGTCCAACTCTAACGATCCGCGGACGAGTCGGTTTTCCCTGACACCAGCACCAACACCCCCCACCCTCAGCCATGACATCAACTCCCACCTCCAGCACCACTCCCACCGGAACACATCAGTCACCTCATCGACATCCCTCGTTCCACCGTCAAAGCCCCACTTCTACCCCTCAGCAGCGACGTCGCTCTCACCTTCACGCCCGCCGCATTGCTAGCACTCCTTCCGACGACGGTGTATGATTGATGCACAGGGGTTTGGTGGTGTGGAATGTCGTGTGGTTTAAG